TCAATCAGGGCAACCCCAAAGAGGCAGTGCTTTTGGCTTTCCTGTACAACCCGGATGGCAAACAAATGCGCACCGTCCGCATTTGATGAAAAAACTTGGCTCACACGGCTCAGTGAAAGAAGGCCAAAGCTACCAGCACAGGCCAGCACAGGCTCATGGCGATGGAGTTTGACATGGCGATGGTCGGCATGGCATCTCCCCAGTCACTGGAGACTTTGCATTCGCCTCGGAAAAGGATATCATCACACAACGCTACAGGCGCAATGAAAGGACGAACGGGTGTTTGGTTTTATGTGGGCTTCCTGTTGATGTGATTTGAACAACAATAAACATCAATGTAATACATCATATTAGTATATTATATGTTTCCTGGAATTGGACAGTTCCCCACACGCCTGATTCACCGTGATTTACCTTTCAGCAACCCTCCCCAGAGCCAATTCCGGGAAACACTCACAATGACAGCACGATGTGCTGGGATATTGCGAGGCTCAACGCAACAACATGACACATGCGTGGTACAGTCCTGGCATGTCATGTATCACTTGTCTGGCTGCTCAAAAGGCGCAACGAATTCATTCATCCCTTCTGGACACGTGTTTAGCATCACAAGCACAAGCGTGACATTTGCGTGGCTCCAATAAGAAGTGAGCAAGCAAGACTGGAAGTGGGAGGACCGGTTTCATGGCAGCTCGGGATCCGACAGTTTGTGTTCCAAGGACTTGGGATCCGCAGATCGCCAACAACCCTCATTTGTACAGGGGTCCAACGCCTTTCTCCGCGAAAAGGGCCTGACTGGGCCCCCGCCTTTCTGCGTGAGGCTGGCGGTGCAAACCACAGCCTGCGTCATGGAAGCCCCGTGGTAGCCCACGTTGATGGAGGTGCCAACCTCAAGGCAGCTCGAAACTGGAGATGGCCACAGTCCCCCAGTCTGACGCCCATGTTTTCTACTTTTGTTCAATTTGAGTCCCGTTTTCAGGTTGGATGGTTGGTTTGAGGGGAAACCCAAAGCAGACCAGCGATTTTTGGGATCCCTCATTTTGAGGCAAGCGCAATCTTTCCCGGGATCCTTCTTTGCAGAATATGGCCAACCACCCCGGGGTTTGTTGAGTGTCTCAACAGAACGATGAAGATAATGGGACCCAACACCTAAATCTGAAAAGCGACCACCAGCAGAACGTAGTAGGTCTTGTCCACGGTGAGCGCGAGGTCTGTGGCGTCCCCCGTGTTCAAGGGCCGCTGGGCCCACACCTTCATGCGCCCATTCTCAGAGAGCAAGCTGTAACTCTGCAGGTCCTGGGGATCTTGAGGCCTCAAAAACGAAGGCGTTTTGCCTGTTTAAAGCGTTGCGCTTCTGGAGGGATACACCGCTTGTGGACCCATCCACTTGTTTCCTTCGGAAAGTAGACAAAACCGAGTCGTCTGCGATCCTAAGAAACAAACCCTGCAAGCAAACGGGAACTCAAGCAGAAAGTCCCCATCCTGAACCGCGTCGATGGTAATCGTGTGGCCCACCAAGTTGCATTGCGACATGCTAACTGCCGTGCCAGCACTGGTCTTCTTTGTCAGGCCCATGGCGCAAAACATTTGACCTGACGTCCGGGCCACGTGAGCTGTTTGACCCGAGCTGACTTTTCGCACCATCGCGTGGCAAAATTAAGGGAGGGCCAATCAAACACCTGTTTTTGTTACACATGTTTTGTTGTGGTGCGCTGTAAACCACCTGCGCAGGGTAGCATCAGCCTTGCCATAACCCGCTGAGGCATGGTGGGGCAACTGTAACTGTAGGCCAGGTTATACGCAACGGGCACGTGACTGCATAAAAACACCAACCCCAGCCTGGGCATGCATAGGCTCCACAGCCGCATCCGGCAGTGGTAGTTGCCCCACAGCCGCAGCCGCAGCCACAGCCAGCAGTGGTGGTTGCTCCACAGCCGCAGCCACAACCGCAGCCAGCAGTGGTGGTTGCCCCACAGCCGCAGCCACAGCCACAGCCAACAGTGGTGGTTGCTCCACAGCCGCAGCCACAGCCAGCAGTGGTGGTTGCTCCACAGCCGCAGCCGCAGCCAGCAATGGTGGTTGCTCCACAGCCGCAGCCACAGCCGGCAGTGGTGGTTGCCCCACAGCCGCAGCCGCAGCCGGCAGTGGTGGTTGCCCCACAGCCGCAGCCGCAGCCACAGCCACAACCGCTGCCACTTGGGCAAGTGCCATAGAAAGCACCACACCCGCAACCACCAAGCCGTCGTGCCACCTGGACTTTGCTGTCAAAGGGATGTCCTGTTTGGACTTCCTTGAAGATGGCATGCTCCGGGCACCCTGTTCCGCTCAGCTCCTTCCCGCCGGCAATTGCCGCGGTCTGCATCTGGCTTGGCTTTGCCTCCACGCACGGCTGACCATCCTTCTTCGCGCGGTAGCCCGTGATGTTTCCCAGTGTGCCGCGCAGGCATGGCGGCATGTAGGGAGCCGTGGGCACCAAATAGTACCGGTACTCGCCGGTGATGAGGTCTGTGGCTCCGAAGCACTCGTCGAGGGACTCCTTGCTGGTTCCTGATGACTCAGCCAGGATCAACGACTCTGTACATGTGTATCTGTGCAGAAACACAATTCTGACACAAATGTGTGTTGCGCAAAACAAAAAGAACAAGTACGAGCTGTGCTTTGCTGCTCGATGCTTCAAAAAAAGGTGTTCAAGCTCGGACCGATGTTCAAAGAACCGATGAACCGAAGGCTTCGGCCGAGGCTCGTTTGCCCGCGCGGAAGGGTCCCATGATGGGTGCGCCGTCCAGAGCCCAGCCCACCTGCACCTCAGGCCCCTGCGACGGCCAGGCATTGGCGCCGGCCGTCTTCCACCAGGAACCGTCTGCAGGAGTGGGCACCCCCAGGGCCGAAAGCCTGCGGAGGGTGAACGTCGGACAGGGCAGAAAAATACATACCTCACACCTGCTAAACCGAAACCCCTGAAAATCAGCTCAAGGTACAATTGCGACGGGCCAAATGAAAATAACACTTTTCTTGAAGGGACCCTGTCACAGCGGTGGCTGAACTGAAGAAACTTGTCAACAACAAACAGGTCATTTGCCAAGTCAACTGGCAAGTGGCAAGCACAGGGGCGGCGCGTGGTAGTGGTAGTGCCCGAAAGTGTCCCCGTGGCCGCCGCAGTTGTCAAAGAGCCAAGTCATGCCCTCATCCGGATGCTCATGCACAAAGAGCACCGAGTTCATTGCCATGCCCACCACACCCCCAACATGCTCAAGGCTTCGTGCGGAGCCCGGAGTGGTAAAAGACGGAAGGCTGACCTTCACGTGACGCACTCGTGGGACGTAGGGGTTAACCTCCTTCTTCGGCTGCTCACTCAGACGTCGAGCCCCGCAGCCACAGCCGCAGCCTTTGTTGGGGGGGCCGCAGGCAGTGGTGGTTGCCCCACAGCCGCAGCCGGCAGCGGTGGTTGCCCCACAGCCGCAGCCGCAGCTGCAGCTGGCTGTGGTGGTTGCCCCGCAGCCGCAGCCGCATCCTTTTGTCGCACCACACCCACACATTGGGCAGTCTGCAAGATCCACTGCACCGTGATGCCCGAACGTGAACACATCCTGCAGCAGGCCAAGCGTAACACTTTAAAGTATAAGCTAATCAGAGAATGTTATCGCGTGTTATAGAACACTTAGTCCCGACTTGGTCTCAAGTTCCAGAACAGAAAGACGGCACTTGGCAGAAGGGCCGAGTTTCGGCGCCATCCATCTTGGGACTGTTCTCATTGAATCCGAAGCCGCACCAAGACGTCTCTGGGCAGTCGGCGGTGACCATGAGCATGTCGTTCATGGCCTCTATGGTCCTGGGCCAGAACAAAACAGCAAGGGAAGGAAACAAACAAAAAAACACTCGGGCGAAAAGGCCAGCACCCGATTGAAAGCAGCAGGGAAAACCAGCCGGGCGAAAAGATCAACCCAGCTAACCCCGGCAGGTCCATGTGGTGTCCAGGTGTGTGAACGTCAGGGGCGCACCCAGCACGCTCACGCAGGCTGTGAGGCCTGCAAACACCCGCATCATGGCAGGGAAGCTGAGGGACGAAAGGAGAGATCACTGAGCCTTGTGCTGCCTTCGCTACGAGCAATTGGCGCAAAGCAATCGGCAGTACAAGCATTCAGCAGGCATTCAGCAGGCCATCTGGGTCTCTCTCCCAAAAATCCCTCTTTGGATCCGCATACGTCGGAATGCCAAAAGCAACCCCCGACACTGCTTTTGTCACAGTCATCTTGACTCTACAAGGACCAACCTTCCAGGGGGTTCGATAAAACATATCCCGGAAATCCAAACGCCTGAATTGAGACCCTTTGGCTCATTGGAACTAATCCAGTTCCACTTTCCCATGCCGAACCATCACAAGTGTCTTGGCCCAAGCCCAGGAAACGCAGTGTTCAGATACACATTCACTCAGGAGACTGCATGGGTCTTTCTTCCTTTCTTTGGCATTTGTGGGACCCTAAGATGGTGGTGTTCCTCGTGGTTTCCCCTTACCAAAAAAGGGGGTGCCAACTCATATATATATATATATATATATATCAAAAAAAAAGAAAAACGACACAAGCCATATTTGTTCGCCCAGGTCTTCACCTCACAGCTTCGCAGATCGGTGTTTCGGATGTACCTGAGTGCGGCTTGTGCCTGTCACTCAAGGTGGAAAGAGCACCTGTAGAATTGAACATATGCTGTAATGCTGCGATTCCTGCATCCAGCGTTACCCCGGAAACCAACGCAACTCAGTTCAACATCTGCTTCATCCCCCAAAGCTTCCGAGTTGCTGTGGGCAAACACGCATTTTCCCCAAAGAGTTGCCTCCATTTGCATTTTCCAGGTCTCACATGTCCAGTAGTGAAACCGATTCCCTTTAAAACCAACAGGGGGTTCGAACAACGCATGGGCATGTCTTCCTTTTTTGGGGACCCCAAAGCACCAAATGCCTGGGTTTCCCTCTTGGCTTCCCGAACCAATCCAGGCCAGCAGGCCTCCACCCGCACGCGCGGAGCGGCGTTCTGGACCCAGGGCAGGGCATTGAAGTTCTGCAGCATCGCGGCAAAGAGTTGGCCTGGCAAGAAACTCGCGGGGTCAATTGGGTCACTTGAAAAAATAGCGCTTGCGGTCAATTGGGGGTGAATGGAAACCTGGACGAAACCCGTGGTATATGTCTTGGACGACACCTGCGGGTTTATACGCCTTGGGGGGATAATTTGTCTGACCCATTCCCCCTTTTGTATGGCTTTTGGTTTTGGAAAGAGCTGACACGCAAGGGATTCGGGCTGATGTCCAAGTGGTCATGGGGATGTACATTTACTCCCCTGGAAAAAAGAGAGAGCACTGAACGCCAAGAAGGAGGTCTGGCAACAAAAAGTTCTTCTACAAGTGGTTTGCTTGTGGGTTGCATGGTTTAAGATGGTTTCCATTACCCAGAGGGGTTGAAGGGATACACAACCACTTTATAGCATCTGTAGAGAAGGGGATCATCCCGTTTTTTTCTCGGGGTAGTTTGGGGGAAGTGGACACCATCTTGGAGCCTGAACGACAAGTTATGCGCCTGTGGCCCGGCAAGAGCTGAAACCCTCCATATGTCCAGCGATAGATTCCCTGTAAACAAACAGGCCAAATACAGCATCTTGTTCTGCAAACGGAAGGGGATGATTCTTGGTTTGCAAATCCGTTGCAGAAACGGAACGACTTTCTGTTATTTTCCATTGTACCTAGAGTTTCCATGACCGCTAGAAAAAGGGGTCATAAGCCCTTAACTTTGGGTAATGACCCCATTTTAAAGGGTCGTGGAGACTCCAGGTACGAATCAGGCAACCCTTAGTTGGTGGTTTGGATTGGTGGATTTGAACCCCTGGCTGTTGCAGAGGGTAAACTACCAAGCCACCAGTCACAGGGAAGCTGAACAAAGGGACTATACGGGGAAGGTTGAGCGGGGCCGGACTTTCAACTTCGCCCGTGCCTTGCACCCGCCGCGTCAGCACATTCCTGGGGTCAAACTGATGCTTCACGTTTGATCAGCTTTCATCGCGTGTCCACGCAACACGCTCACTGCAAACGCTGCAAAAGGTTGGACGCCTCGGTGTCAGATCCGCGCGAAGCAAGACTGGCCACTCTTTGCCTCAATCGCTGTTTAGCCAGTTTTACAACTAGTCGGTCGCTTCAGAGTCTTCCAATGATTTTGGGGTGTTTGTCGAAACCCGATCTTGCTGGTGCTCAGCAGGGAATGAGAATTGGAATGACCCCTATAAACCATCCAACTGGTAGTTTCCTTGGGACAAAAAAACACCGATCGCACGTATTTTTCAGGGCAGCTGTCCTATGACCAAAACCCGTCTCCTCGGCACAAAGGCGGTGTACGCCGCTTGGCTCACCCTCGCAAGCCGCCAGCGCAGGCCGGGGCCGCTATGCAGCGTGGTGTGGAGGCCCAAGGTGGGCACGCTGGGCACCTGACGTCGAGTTTGGAGCGGACCTCTCCGATAGAGTTCAACATGACTCGTATGGTTGCCGGCAATGCTCTGAGCACCCCGCTGGTGCTAGCTTGAAAGAGCCTCTCTGATTGCTCGAACATTTCCCAGCCATCATAGAAACCATGTCTAAAGGACATTCGCCAAAGCAAACCTAATACATGGGGGGGTCTTCTTGATTTTCTCGCTTGGTTTTCTGGGGAAGCCGCCAGCATTTCCCCGAGGGTCAACATTTGAGCGATCCCCTGTAGCTCAAGGGGGAGGGGTGTGTGGGTCCCCCAATTCAATTTGTCTTAATAGAGAAAATGGGTTGCCATAAAAGGAATTCCAGGCGAACAGCCTTCCAATTCCATCCTAAGGGACCCGGCGACGGGGGGGTCCCCCCAAATCCACAAGTATTGCATTCCCCTCCCCCTCACTCCCTCACTTACAAAGTCCTCACCCTCCACCTTCTCCCCCCAATTCCACTAGTATTCCCCATACAGAAATTGGAACCCATTCCCCTTCACTTACAAAGTCCCCCTCCCCCCGCCCACCTTTCTCCCCTCCCCCCCGCCCCTTTTTTCAGGAAAATGGATCCCATTCCTGCCCTCCACCTTCCCCTCCCCTCCCCCAATTCCTTTTTAGAATCGCGCCCGTTTCAACCAAAACTCCGTCATCTCGCCTTCAATCCCACCAGGTAGGAGATGTCCATGGAGAGCCGCGCCCAGGCGCTGGTGCAGAAGTGATGCTTCGAGCCCCGGATGCTTTCCTCACCCATCGGCGGTCTCCCCGGAAAGCGGCTCGGGAGCTACGCGAAGCTGAGAGAGCCGAGGTTGAGAAGAAACCCGCAAGAAGGTCAGCGGTCAGCCAAGTTCTGAGAAATCATCAAGAACCATTCTACAGGACACCCAGATAAATTCTTGGGCGCAGGCTTGGGCGCAGAAATGGTGTGGAATTGTCCTGAAGCTGGGCTTCTATGCATGTCTCCAGTGCTTCTGTTTTCACTAACATCACTGGCCGTTTGGAGGGTCCATGTCCGATGGTTCTGGCGAGCCTTTAGGAAGCCCTCCAAAAGAGACAAGACTCACTCTTGCCCACAGAATTGAGAGATAAAACAGATCGAAGCGCCATGCAGAACACACAAACCCTAAGGCTCCCGCCTCAAAATGGGTTGTTTTCAAGGTCCCCTGAGGGGTCCGGGTTCTTCATTGGAGGGCCCGGGGCCCTGCACTGGAGGGGTCATGAGCCTTAGGGAACACGGTATGATTCATCACGCTAGTTGGGGGCTGGACCAAAAAGCGGCAAATTCGCCTGGGAATCTGTTGGGCACAAGAATGTTTGCTTCATTGTCCATCTGTAGCTACAGCCTACCGGTGAGAACAGGAGGCAACGTATGTACCTGTAAACAGCAATCGTGCTATGTCTGTGTCAAAAGAAAAGCGCCCATTTTGTTTTTTTAACCTAAACCCTAGCCCAATTGGGAAAAAACAACCCCGCCACAAGCAGCTCCTATGCGGACGGCTTGAGTCCCGTGGCGCTGCGGTCCAAGTTGTCAGAACATGGGCCACTTCTGCACGCCGATCCTTCTGTTCAAAGCAAAAAACCCAGCAGGGTCCATCCTTTTCTTTTGGGGGGGGGGGTTCAAGGGAACCAACAAGAAAGCCACAGTTTTGAGGGTCCCCGCATTTTGACACGTACCCAGGAAGCCTTCCTGGCTTTTAATGACCAACGGGTCTGTGGCTCGGATGGACACCAAGAGAAAAACACAGCTTTTTTGGGGGTTCGGAGAACAGGGAGGAAAACCAACCTGAATAGTTCTGTTCCTAGGCAAGGCTCGGGCACCTAGACGCTCTATCTGTGCCTCTTGCCAATGCAGTTTACATGTTTTACTCTGTTCTATTCTTAAGGGGCTGAAAAGACTCTCTGAGGGAGGTTCTTGGGTGTGCCCCCCCCCCTTTGGTCAAGTTGATCACCTAGGATCAGACAACCAGACTATGGGAAGTGCGGTTTGAATTGTCCACAAATGGTTTCCCCTACTTCTGTCAGGTAATCCGTCAGGTTGGTGGCCGGGATCGCGGGTTTGGGCATTTGAGGCCCTCTACAACAAATGGGAAGCCATTTCCCAAACCTCCGCAACACCGATTCGTCTCCAAACCATCTCGAAGAAAGCTGATGCGAGGAATTTTCGGGATGCCTTGTTGAAAGAACTGGGCACCACGGCCCTGCTTTATGTAGAGGTGAACTAGGTCCTGCAGTAGAGAGGTTAGAATAAGGGTACCCTTTTGCCTGTTGTCGATTTTAGTAGGGGAACCGAGTCTCCCCCAAAAAAGCTTGGCGAGCAGGGCACTGCGGTCAGATTTCTTGATGGTTCTCATCCCTCAATGCCCAGTGGATCCCAGCTGCAAGCCCCAAACGGTAGGTAACCAACCACTTTCCACTTCTGTGAAGGGTGGCAAACCAGCCCAAGTTCGCCCCTATCCTCTTGCCTTTGTTTTCGGGTGGTTCTTGGCTACCCACCAAACCTTCCCATTTCCTTAAGTCCACCAACAAAACAGTAGCATTCCCAGTCTCATTCCAAAAGGACCTCTTGAGCCAACGGAAGCCAACGGAAGCCAACGGAAGCCTTCTGAGCTGAAGCTCTATTCCCTGCAGGCGTCTGCTCCAATGCGCGCAGCCTCCGCCATCAGCGGCACGTGCCACTCCTTGCGGTATCCCCGAAGCCTTCTGGCACCCAAAACCACAGCTGCCGTCTTCGTTTGGAGAGCTACCCTTTTTGGGGTTGGCTTTTATTGGGAGACCAAAAGGAGAGAAGTAATATGGCCGTGGGCCCCCGGTCAACATCCCGTACCCCCAGTGTACATCCCAATCCCCACTAAAATAGACTAACATGGGTGGTGGCACCTACCCCAAAATGGCGCCAAAACGGTTCCTTCGGGTATCTTTCAAAAAAAGAGGAACTACTGAAACTTGTCGTATGGCCCCCCGGGCCATTCGGAGCATATCAGCCCTCGGCACCCAGATTTTCCCAGCTTGACCTCTTGGAACCAAATCAAAGAATATGCCAAACCGGGAAAATGCCAACCCACCGTGGTGAAATTTGAAGTCGCTGTGGTCCAGTGACACCCCCAAGCATGGAGTTCGATCTTGGTTTACCCTGGCCGAAAGAGACAGTCGCTGAGGAAACACTACTTCCATTTGCTTAAGTCCCCTGGAACAAAAAGAACACGGTGATCGATTCCTTTCAAAACCAACAGCGAAAACAAACCAACTATTCTTAAGCAAATGGGAGAGAATGTTTCGGCAACTGGTGTCGCTGTTCCTTGCCTTCAATTTAAGGAACACGCATGCAGAAAATCAGCGGAGATCAAACCAGGTAAACACACGTTCATGTTTCTCACAACTGAGGTGGCTCATGGAAATGAGGACACTCTGACAGAAATGAGAAAACATCTGCGAGAAACTAACTCCCACAACACAATCCGAAGAGCCACAAACGGTAGTCAAAATGATTGCTTTGGAGTACATGATGGTAATGCACTAATCTGACACATCAGGCATCTAAGTAAGGAGTTCTCGACAAACATGAGGGATGCGGCCGTTGCCTTCACAGGGGATACTTATAGCATCCATCCCGCATGGGCTAGTCTCTAAATAGAGGAAGCCAATCAAGGTGTGGTTCCCCTTCTGCTTCTCTTTGAAGCAGCCCCAACCAGGTCTATAGCCCCAATTTGACATCAAGAGCTCTACGGGTGTGTCTTTCTTTTCTTGTGGGTGCCCTTGGTATTGGTTTGTCAAGGGCCACCAAGGGCAAATTACCCGAATCGAAGCGATTCTTGCGGTTTAGCTTCTTGCGGGGTGTGCTCGCCAACCAGCCAGTTCACCATGTAGTGGAGAACCGGCCTCGGATCAAACCGAACTCACCTCCCATCGAGTGAGGAAAGGCCAACAAAAAGCAACCGAAGCTTTTGGGGTTGCCACTCAAATGGCAACCAAACCATTTAAGCAAAATAGCGTCTCGAGTGGATCGGACACAACCAAAAACAAAAGAAAACTTTTGGGTCTGCCACTGACTGGCCCAAACCCCGGAAAAAAACAAAAGAAGTCCCGGACCCTCAGGGAGTCAGGCAACCAGTTTCCCCCGAAGTGGTTGGTGTCGTATTTTACAACCACCAAGGGTTCAAATCCCCAAGCCACAAATCCGAACCAATTGGGGTGAGCCTGAAAGAGGTATAGGGGCATACAGAAATAGAACGATATCGCGTACGTTAAAATGAATATCAAATAATATGTGAAATTGCGTAGCCACAATTTGTCATGATTATAGGAGAAGTCTGTATTTGTCCACTTATAATGCTGGGCGGACTACTTTCATTCACAAACCGGGATGGAACCCCACATGGTCCGTCAAAAAATATTCAAATTGGGGGCCCCTCCAAAACACACCAAAACAAGGAAACTTGTCACTTCGAAGACGTTGAGCTAGCGGAGACTGCGCCGCTATATATCGGAGGGAAGCCTTGAAATGGTGGTTGTCCTTTGCGTTTCCTGAAAAATAACCTGAAAAGGGTATTCAAAGAAACACAAGGCCATCGTATGGTTTCCACGCTCCTGCACGAAAACCTTGCCTAGGCAAGTTCGGCAATTGACCGAGTTTGAGTAGTGTTTAAGGGGAACCCCCCATCCAAAAAAGAGGACAAAGGGCACTGGGTGGCTTTTCACGGTTTATAAGCGCCTCTAGGACTAAGCCGACGGTTCGCAGTGGCCTCGACTCCATCTCTCTCTCTCTCTCCTTTCTCTTTCTCTTTCTCTTTCTCTTTTCTTCTCTCTCTCTCTCTCTCTTAATTTAGCTCTTCTCGCTGTTCTTTCAGCAACAGCTATCAGTGCAACGTTTCGAGGGCTCGGGGCACACTTGCTACATCGTTCGCTGGCCGAATGCGAGGTGCAAGTCTGAGGGCCTTGGGTGCGCGAGTGTATCGCAGCTGTTGGCTCAAGTTGCTGGGGCCAAACAAGCGGCGGAAGCACGCAAAAGCCAAAGAAGCGGAACAGCGGTCTTGCCAAACAAGAAGGTCTGTTGGAAACCAAGAATTCACATTTGTTTTGAATTGAGCTTCCTTTGATCATAATCCAACCCAGAATAACGGAATAAGGGGTCCCAACGAAAGAATATTTGAACATGGGTGCCCCGCAAACCGTCAACATCAAAAAAGCCTTGCGTCAGCATCAGGTCGTCTCCAAAGCATGAACTGTTTTTCACTTGGTGTTTTGTGAAACGGTAAAGTGAGTCCCTAGTTCATCAGCAGCGTGGTTCTTGAATTTTAACTGCAGACTACATGGACAGCATTCAGGTGTGGCCTGATGTTCGCCACCCTCTTGACATTCATCATAGGCATAGCAATTCATCTATTTTTTGCCGTATTTTTGGGGTGTCTGTTCAGGCAAACAACTGTGGGGGTCCCTGTGTTTAGACCAATTTGCGCCGAGCCGATTTGCCAACCGGCCAGTTGCTCACAGTTTGGACTTCAGCGACACCAGCGCTCTTGTTTTCGGGTTGTTCCCGCGGTTACCTACTAAACAGGGAAATGGAACCACTGGGATACAGGTGAATCGAAACAGTCACACATCCCAATTCTCGACACAACCTCCGTCAAGGCATTGAGGCATGGTCTCCGGTCTCTCGCATGAGTATCCGGTTCATAACACAATGCTCGCAGGATACGAAGCCTCCGCTCCGACATCAAACGGTTTCTGTTTGACCCCCTGGGAGAAAGAATTGGCACTGGTTTGGCGCTTGATTTTAATGCCCTCTCTCTTCCCATTTGATCTATCTATCCATCTATCTATCTATCATCTCACCTTGCGAAAGTGCCGCGCCTGCCACGGAATCTGTACTTGACCTTGCGAACGTGCTGCGCCTGCCACGAAATCTGTACTCGACCTTGCACGGGCACAAAACGCTGCGCCAGCCACGAAATCTGCATCTTAGGTTGCCAAAGCGCTGCGCCTGCCACGCAAAATGAACCTCCGAAAACCTCTGCGCACGCTGAACGGGGGTACCCTTCGTGTGTTGCGCATGTCTAACTCTACTTGCGCATGTCTAATTCTACTTTTCGTATTACGGAAGTTTTCTAACTAAACTTCCTTTGATAATGTTTGGAGATGTGAGGAAGACAGAGACGAAGGCGTAAATCGCGTGGCAGGTGCAGCAGTTTCGAAAGGTCGAGCACAGATTTCGTGGCAGGCGCAGCACTTTCGCAAGGTCGGGTACAGATTTCGTGGCAGGCGCAGCTCCTTCGCACGGTCAAGTGCAGATTTGGTGGCAGGCGCAGCACTTTCGCAAGGTCAGTTGCAGATAGATAGATAGATAGATAGATAGATAGATAGATAGACAGATAGAAAGTAAGAAAGAAAGAAAGAAATAAAGAGAAAGAGAAAGGCAGAAAAATACAGAAAACACGAAAGAAAGAACGCACGAAAGAAAGAAAGAGAGAACGAAAGAAGGAAAGTAAGAAAAAAAGAAAGGAAGGAAGAAAGAAAAACACGAAAGACAGAAAGAGAGAACAAAGGAAAGAAAGAAATAAAGAAAGAAACAAACAGAGAGCGCAACCCAAACAAAAACAAGCCAAGCTCTTCCTATAGGCACTCTTCTCGCTTTAGAAACTTCCGTCCACCGGCTTCGCCGGCTCTACTGGTTAAAAAGACAACAACAATTGGGCACTCACAAGCACAGATTTCCAACAGGAACCTATTGCGCTATGAGCGTGCAGGCAATATGCCTCAGCGAGAACTACCCACTGACTTGTCACCCAGTCTGGAGATTCCCAGTTCGTCGATTGGGCAAGCCGCTGCTGCGCAAGCTGCTGAAGCATCCAGCACAGGGGCCAAATCCCGGTGCAAATCCAGGCGCTCGCCTCGAGATATTTTTCTTGCTGAAGGAAGCACCGCAGTCAGGAGGGGTGCCAAGTGTACGTCCAACGTGTCTCTGTGTTTGGCGTGTGCGGTGTCTGTGGTGTGTGTGGTGTGTGTGTGTAGTGTGTGTGTGTGTGTGTGGTGTGTGTGTGTGTGTGGTGTGTGTGTGTGTGGTGTGTGTTGTGTGTGTGTGTGTGTGTGTGTGTGGGTGTGTGTGTGTGTGTGTGTGTGTGTGTGTGTGTGTGTGTGTGTGTGTGTGTGTGTGTGTGTGTGTGTGTGTGTGTGTGTGTGTGTGTGTGTGTGTGTGTGTGTGTGTGTGTGTGTGTGTGTGTGTGTGTGTGTGTGTGTGTGTGTGTGTGTGTGTGTGTGTGTGTGTGTGTGTGTGTGTGTGTGTGTGTGTGTGTGTGTGTGTGTGTGTGTGTGTGTGTGTGTGTGTGTGTGTGTGTGTGTGTGTGTGTGTGCGTGTGTGGTGTGTGTGTGTGGTGCGTGTGTGTTGTGTGTGTGTGTGTGGTGTGTGTGTGTAGTGTGTGTGTGTTGTGTGTGGTGTGTGTGTGTGTGCTCCCCAAATTGGTCCCCATAAAAAAAAAAGAAAAAAAACATACGCAACAATTCCAACACCTGAAATAAGGGACGCCCAAATCAGGACCTACGATCCACAAATTTTACCTATCGATGGGCCGGCGGCTTGCCCAACTTAACCCGCCTTGAGCGGTGGCTTGACAAACTGGCCTTGGGGTGTATCATTTTGTGACGGTACCCCTTCTTCGCGGCTTTTTTAAGGGACACTTCCACGGACAACCACCATTTTGGGGCTCCCCTCCAAAAAAAGACAAGCGCACAGGGGGGCTTGCCACAAAGGGGAGCCCCAAACTCACTTTTGCCGTGGGACTCCAAGAGCATTCACTCATGCCATGAACTACATGCAAAGGGATTGAATGCTGCAAAGAACTGAACCGGCACGGCTGCCTCGTTGCACAAAGCGGGGTTCTGCAGGCTTGATGAATCAAGACTTCTTGCTGCCAGCCATTTCCTCACTCCCTGCTGAGAACGAGCAAGAAAGGCTACACGGTCGTGGATGCTTTGGACAACTGAGTTTACCCCCCGATGTACCACGGTCAGAGCTCTTTCTGCGGGCTACGGTCGATACTTCGTCAACCCAATAAAACAAGCTGTTGGAGGAGGCCCATTGACTCGTGGCTCTACGTACCAATGTGACGCCGTGTGCAAGCCTTACTATAATTCTAAAACCAGCTGTTTTCCAAGGGTTTTTGGTGGTTTTCTAGAAAGAAGGATCCCTGGAAAGAATGGGGAAGCTGCCCCCTGGAAAGAATGGGGAAGCTACACTAATTTATAACCCTTGTGAAAACCGGCAGGAACCGCGCCATGCCAACATGCCTGTAGGGGAATCGCTGAGCTTGGCGCCACTCAACTGATTCCTGGGCGTTTCTCAAAATAGAGGACCCCCCCGTTTCCGTCGAAGCCACAGAGAAACCAAGGGGAAACCCTTTTCCATATTTTCCATTGTTGGGGTCAAGTTTGAGAAACACCTTTTCCCACCTTTTGCAGGTTGAATTCTTAGCCATTTGTCTCCACCGCAAGGTCTTCAAGGGAGATTTTGGCACCAAAGAGACCGACTCACACGTCTCGCCTGCATCAGCGGCTGCTCCTTCTGAACCGCCTCCCGCAGCTCCGGCCAGACGCTGGGCGTGGGTGAGGACCGCCCGAAGGCCTGCGGACAACTTTTGGCGCCCCCAACCCCCAAGGCCCGAAGGCCCGAAGCCTTGCGAAACGCGAAACGCGTGGTCAGCTTTCCGGAGCCCTGGCTTTATCTCGGAATCTACTCAACTCCAAAAGCTGCGAGCGCCACCGAGTTGTTCAAGATGTAGTTCCGTTCCCCCACTTGCCAAAATGAATTCCGAAGGTCTCGCTCAGACTTCGGGTATAGGCGACAACAGGCTTACCTGGCTTCCTGAAAAGTACAACCCCTGAAAATACGCGGCTTCCCTTTGGTTTCCCCTCGCCCGAAAAGGATACCCAAATAACGCCCTGTGTTGGAAGCCAGCTTCTGGGGAGAGCTCATTTAACCCAGGGTGCAGCAACCACTAGGAGCCGCCAGTTTTGAGACATCACTCAAGCAACGCAAGGAAAAAGCACCAAGCAACCAAGCCAACCAAGCAACCAGCCAACTGACATCAAGCCGGTGCTTCGTAGATGGCCTCCCGCAACTCTTCCTGGAACATCCATCGCCGAAGGGGCTCTTGCAAAGCATCCTGCCGCTAGCGTGCGAGCGACTGGCTGGGCAATGAGAAACATCAACATCTTCCCTGCACATGGAACTCCTTTTGAGGCTCCATGGTACTATTTTGTTGGGGGGCAGTAATTCAAGCAACTCACCAATCCAAGATCAATCTTCCAGATGAAATACATCTTCACCGAAGGTCCAAGGTTGCAAACTAAACTCGGTTGCTTTCTGCTCCCCTGCTAAAAGTTTAACTTTTATGGTTTAATACGGAAAACCCAAATTCGTTGGCCAAAAGTTATTCAGTCCTAACATCCCTTGGCAAAACGCACCAAAGAAACTAAATCCTCGGCAAAACTGGCTCCGACACCTGGAATCCAATCCCCCCAAGGACTGGCTATCACATGCAAGGACAGGATGTTTCACCACTAAAACCTCAGCCAGAGCCGCACGATTGTGTGGCATTGGTTCCCTTGACTCTGTTGTTTCGGAGGCTTTTTTCCAGACTTCGAGCCCTTTCAGGGCAAACAGGCTAGTTGGGTGTCTCAAAATGGGCCCGCCAGACTGGCGTTTTTTTTTGGCTTCTTTTTACACCCACTTAAACAGGGATACCCGAGCCACACCCAGTGTGGAAGATGAAAACAACCCCCTCGGGCAGCAAAGGTCAACTCCAACACTTGAAGAAACGCAAGTCAAACCTGCACCCAACAGACATCATAGCCACAGTCAATCACCATCCCAATTGGTGAATTGGAGCCTGCTGGTTTGGGGCTGGTTTCGCATCTGCCTCCGTTCAAATCCCATAAATCCAAACCACCAACCTGGCGGGTTAATCTCAAAGCATTTCATCAAAAGGAACCTCACTTTCAGTTGGCCCGGTGTGTTTTCGTTGGACAAGGGACATATGCCCCATGCATTGTGCCTTATGACTTGGGAATTTGGCGACCTATTGGCAAGTTGGTGAGTGTGCCCTGTGTCATCCCGTTTGCTACCGCAGATAGCAGTAATTGTTGACCGTTGCTTACAACCAACGAGACCAAACAGAACAGCCTCATGGTCACAATATGCGACATGCCTATTGCAAACTCGACACCACGTTGTGATTGCAAACAGCTGAGTCACAGGACAATATTTAACCAGTCAGAGCAAAGCACACATTGACCAATCCGAAGCACTCGGAATTCAAGATGCCCAGACCCTTTTTTCCTCGTTCCACTGGTTGAGACAGGGTATCCTTCGATTCTCTTCATGTGTGTTATGAAGCACGTCACAAGAATCTCACTGCCAACAACAACATACCCACATATGTATATATATATATATATACACACTCATGTCCATCCTTACCACATGTGGCCAACTCTCAGGGCTGAAGTGGCAATCACATGGCAAGTAGGTGCCAGTGCCTGATGGATGTGGAACAAGATAATTTTCTCAAGCCGCGCGGAAAAGTCGCAAGGGAAAACTCAGTCCCTCTCGAGAGATTGCAGCTAGACAAAGCCCCCCAACATCCGGGTCCTGGTCACAGCGCTGCAGAAGCTCGCAGGCGTAGTACTGCCCAAAGAAGAGGATCTGAAGCCTGACTCAGTGCACAGGTCTCCTTTTGGGGGGGAAGCACCACACCCCATTTTTGGTGGAGTTACAAAAAAAAGACACGAAGAAGCCACCCATGTTGGAGGGTCAGCCATTTTGAGACACTCACAAACGAATGGATTGAGCACGAGTAAGCCCGTACTTGTGGCCACGTGCCCATGAGCATACATTAGCTTGCCTCAATAAAACCACACATAGGCAGAATGTGGAATGCACCTGGCCCATGCTTAGGACATAGCCAACGGCAAAACGGCTGGAATGGACCCTTCAAACACACAATTTGAAATGCTTGACGTTGAGCCCAGTTGACCATACATGTGTCAAAATCGGGGACCCCCCAAGAATGCAACAAATGGTGTTTGGGGCGTGGCGTGTTTTGGTCCCCAAGGTGGGTTGTTACAAGAAGTGTTTCACCAACATAACGCCTTTGATTTTCCACGGAAACAGCGGGCATCCATTGAGTTGGCACCTCTGGCTCACTTCCCCTAAGTGAGCGACGCCTGACATGCTCCCTCATAAGCAACCAACCCACTGGAAATCGGTCTGGAGGTCTCGGATATGGATGTATCTTTCCTCACTTCCCGACAAAGCTGGCCACAAAAGCCACCGCACTTTTTGTGCCAGCCACTAAAGTGGCAACCAACCCCCAAAAGAAACTAAAGTCCATGAACTCGGCCGGGAGTGACAAGAACCAGGGTGCCACTGGGCAACTTGGTCGTTCACATCATAGTTTTAAAGGAACAAACTGGGCAGCCAACCCCCAAACGTGACCATCAAGTCCACGAACTCCATGGGGAGTCCCGTTTCTTTGGTTAAGAAACACCCAAACGAACACCGTTTCCTCGCTCTGGAGGTCTGGAGGTCCGGATTTAAGTCGTTTTCTTCAGGGTATCCCTTCTCTTTTGGTTTTAAAGGACCAAAAGGACCACCGCTGGACCGAAGCAGTAGTCTCCGGTAGCTTGTCTGCAGATGCCCAAGTGACCATGTGGGCCGATAACGAAATATCAGACTCCGCCCTCTCGTCTGCCTGTGCCTTCTTTTCTTGGGTCCAAACCTTGGTGGCGAATGCAGCTCCTAGGGCCTTGGCCTCAACCCCACGCCTTTTCTTTGGGTTTAAAGGCCCCAAAAGGGAAACACATCACGGTGCGCCTTTATTTTTAGGTCCAACTTCTGGTGGTTGAGAGTATCCCTGTTCTTTGGTTTTAAACTAAAACCACCGTTGTGCCTCCCTTCTTTGGGTGTCCAACCCCCTTGCGAACACAGCAGCTCCTGAGCTCCTAGGGCCTTTTCTTTTGGGGGGGCGTCCAACCGGTGGCGAAACCTCGGGCCTTGGACCAGATCCGAACGCCCGCCGCGCGCGTCGCGCGCGCGGCCAGCGCGCCTCTCCTCCTCGGCCAGCTCCGCCAGCACGGCGCCCATGGCCGCCGCCGGCTCCAGGGACATGCCGCTGTGATGGCCTCCGGCGCCCCGAGGTTCCCAGTCTCCGAGTCTCCCGACGCGGGATCTGCGGACGAATTGTTGGGTTGCTTATAGGGAAAGATGTGGCTTTTACCTGGAGTTATGTGGATATTTGGGTTTCTACCTGGAGTTTTGGTGGTTGTCCTTGGTTTTCTTACAAGAAAAGATGTGGCTTTGGTGGCGGTCCTTTGGTCTTTCTGGCTTTCGTGGGCCTTCCCGCTTTCCCGCTTCCCTCTTGAGCGGGGCCCCCTTACAAAACGGCAAGCGCATACACAAAACAAACGCTTTTGGACCAAGGCCCAGGAATCCAAGGACCAAAACTCCAGGGAAGCCAGGGACGAACTCCACTCATGCACAGGGCACCAGAAGCCACAAACACACAGTGTATATACCCCCGCAAGTAAGAAACACCCGTTTGTTTTTTCCGTTTTGCGCTTGGCAACAATGAGGGAAAACATGTCCAGTCATACATTCCAATTGAGCCAGGGGAAATAAAGAAACATATCATTTCAGCAAATGGAAGTGCTCAACAAATTTGGAAGAGACATGGTGGACCAGGAACGCTCTCCAACTTTTCCATGTCTACGCGACGCAGCATAGTTGACCTTGGCTTAAGTGTCAACCCTTAACCGATGATGCTTGTCTTTGTTCAATGTTCAAGCCTTACGTTTGATTTACTACTTCTCTTTGCTCATCAGTGGGCAAATACTTTTTACATGCCGACTGTTGACTCGCAGGTACTCCCCCAAACTACCCCGGGACTGTAAACAAATCCGTCTGATTGGGGAACGCGCTGACGCAGGTAAAGTGGCAAACCAGTCTACCATTTACCGTTTCACATAAGCTTACCCAAACCAAATAAGGGTTCTCTGACGGAGCCGCAACTCCAAGACTAACCTGGAACCCAAAGAACCACCATGTTTAGAGTAGCCTCTGTTTAGGGATTGGACCCCTTTGCGTTTGCCACTGAACAACAACTGCTTGTCGGTCCTGCCCGTGCCCTTTTTAGACACAAACAGCCAAAAACAAGCAAACAAACAATCAAGCAAACAAACAACCACAACAAACAAAAACGCACATTAAACAAACAAACAAACAAGCAAACAAACAAGACACAATTAAAGCAAACACACTAAAACAATCAACCAATCAATCAGTCAATCAGTTTCAGCAGTCAACCAATCAGTCAATCAATCAAACAAACAAACAAACAAACAAAGCAAGACAACCAACCAACCAAACAGAACAAAACAACATAAAACAAAAGAAACAAACAACACAATCTGACACACCAACAACCAAAATAAACAAACAAACACGTAATCGCAAAAAAAACAAACACACAAACAACAGAAAACAAACAAGCAATCAAGCAACCAAGCAAGCAAGCAACCACACAACCATACAACCAAGCAACCAAGCAACCAAGCAACCAAGCAACCAAGCAACCAAGCAACCAAGCAACCAAGCAACCATCCAACCAACCAACCAACCAACCAACCAACCAACCAACCAACCAAACACAAACAAAACAAGCCCAACCAAAAACACACAAACAGAAACACACAAAACAAACACACAAAACAAACACCGACATATAAACAACCAGCAAACAAACAAGCACACAATCAAACAAACAGAAAGCAAACAAGCAACACGCAAGCAAGCAAGCAAGCAAACAGACAACCAAACAAACAAACAACAACAAACAACCAGACAACCACACAAATAAGCAAACAAGACACATAAACACATAAAGCAAACAACCAAGCAAACAACCAAACAAACCGGCTAGTAAACACAAAAAATATGTTGGGCTTAGCCGCCACGACGAACACAGAATAAACCGACAACTACACCCCGAAGAGTCGAGCAGCCCACCACGGCCAGCACCACCGAGCCAGCTTCTGCAGCTTCCGCGGCGGCCTGCAGAGCAGATGGGTTCTCCTGGTCCTTTTCAGTTACCTACTGTGCACGGTGGGTTTTTCCTTTGAGCTTTCCTCTTGGGTTCGCTGTGTAAATGTGGGTTTTCCCTCGGCTTCTCTTGGTTTTTCCCCCTCTTATATCTGTCTGTCCTGCTTAAGGATTTGGACCCCCAAGGGTCCTTCACAGGTCACTTGAAGCCTAACCCCAATCCTGCCGAGTGGGGCCGAGAATCTGAGAAGCAAATGCCACTCACCTGGATGCTGAAGAGGGGGCTGGTCAACTAAAATAATAATGCATCCCCTTGTGGTTTGTTGGTGAAAAATCGAGATTTTGGGCAATTTGGCACCCAGTTGCGGGCTCGTTTGGTCCACCTTGCTGGGCACACGGAGATGGAACAGTCCCCCTCACTCCGAAGATCCGAAGATCGGATTGGTTGCGTGAGCTTATTTGAGCGACCAAGCCCTATCGACTTTTGGTTCTAGTAATATGGGTTGTCAAGGTCTGTATAGGCCTTATTAGCATCTCAACTAATCCAGCTACTAAAAACCAACTACCCAAATGGCCAAATCGGTTTTAAGCACAACTCATTTATATTTAACAACAAAACAGCATGCGATTCAGATGTCCAAAAAGGATACATGCGACCTGTGGCTGCTGTGGCACCGAAACACATCTGAGGCTAGGGGAAGACTGCACTTTGAGAGTGAGTTGGACAAGATAAGGTCCAAACCTGGGTGGTTCCCCTGAGCAAAACCGTGTAACCTTTTGTAGGTATAATGGAAATGCAAATGGTCTTCAAAAGGTTTATGGGGCCTTCGGCGTCACACCAAAACACCAAAGATCAGCCATGAAACTTATTGTTTGCCACGAAGAACCGGTCCAATATATGGGTATGTGTCAAACTGGGGGGGCCCGCAAAATGACGGACTTCCTCTTGGTTCCCCTACCAACCCCAGACAGCGTACCCTCCAAAAACACACACACACACACCCGTATAAAGTTCAGGAAAACTCGAGTGAGTCGAAGAAGCCGAAGCCATGCCCCCTTTTGGCTTGAACGCGGCCGTGCAAGCGCGCCATGGAAGGCACTGACCCACACCCCAGCCACATGAATACCCGACAGGGGCCTGCCCAAACCGACACCCTGGTCATTCAGCACGCTGCTCGCGGTCTTTTAGATTAGACGAAATTCTGACACGCAATTCAATTCATATCGGTGAAGATCTGGTCGATGTGGGCAGCGGCGCAAAGCGCTTTCAAGAGCCAAAGGCAAACCCCAAATGAGGCAGGTCAAGAGCCAGCTGAGTCACAATCAAAACCTGGTACAAAAATGGTGAACCCACAACCATGTAAAGAATTAGAAAGGCGGATCTCCGCAACTATTTCCGGCTGGGACTGCCCCTAACCTTTTTCTACCCGAACCGGTTTTGAGCACGTGGCTCAGCTGCTGCAAACTGGCTTCGGGCCAGCTGCCTTCGTCAAAAAACACTTCTTGCCCAGTTCCCCAGACTCCAAAGGTCTCCTGGACCCCCGAAAGAGCACTCGGCACAAAAGAGCCCAGTGGCACCAGGGAAAAATCGATCCGGCATCTGGAAGCCAGACGCCCTCCATTCAAGCGGCTTGCCGTGATCTTTCAGGTTGCAGAAAAATGCCTCATCTCTGTGGGAAGGGTAAAAAGCCGAGTCTCTTTGATCTTCTGGTTTGCTCCAAACCCCTTGGAGCAAAAGATCTAACCCTTTCGCCGGTTTGCGGGAACGCCGATTGTTCCCAAGAGGTCTTGCCGAGGCGATTCGGGCACAAGACCAGCCATGTGTTCAGGGTGGTTTGGCTCAAAGGACGCCGCATAGCTCGAGCTGGCTTAAAACTTGGAAGGGCCGCATGCGAGCGGCAATTCACAATGTACAAAACCCCCAAAGCTAAGATCCCAACGTGACCCACACGTAGGCGTCAAAGCTAGGGCTTGCCTGGCAGCTCCTGAGGTGCTGTCAACGGGACTCATGCATCTGATCCCACTTCGAATCCGTCCAAATCGCTGTGTGCCAACAAGCAGATTCCGCTTGTGCGTCGGGACTTCCGGGATCTTAGCTTTGCAACTTGGCCCAATGGCACCACACGTTGCCGACGCCTGCCGGTTCTTCGGCCTTCTCACAGGCGCTGACGCTCCCACGAAACATGACCCCATTGGCCGCGGAGTTTTTTGCAGCCGAAGAAAATAGGGCCAGCGCTTGGAGCCACTGTCCAGCTTTCTCGCAGGCGCTGATGGCTGCACTGACGCTGATATCATTGGATTGCAGCTTTGATGTAGCCATGGCCTCGAAGAGAAGCAAGGCCTGCTGCCACTGCAAGCCTTTTTGGCAAGCACTGATGGTTGCATTAAAACTGATCTCGTTGACTTGCACTTTGGATTCCGGCAACGCCTCAAAGAGTTCCAATGCCTGCTGCCACTGACCGCCTTTCTCACAAGCACTGATAGCTGCACTGAAGCTGACAATATCTCTTTGCACATTGCCCACAGGCATAGCCCGAAACAAAGCCAGCGCCAGCAGCCACTGCCCTCCTTTCTCGCATGCACTGATGGTCGCGCTAAAACTGATTGCATCAGCTTGCACCTTGGCTTTTGGCATGGCCTCAAACAGGACCACCGCCTGCTGCCACTGTTCACCTTTCTCACAAGCACTAATGGTTGCATTGAAGCTAATTGCATTGGGTTGCACCCGCGATGCTGGCATTGATCCAAACAAGCTCAATGCCTGCTGCCACTGGCCACCCTTCTCGAAAGCGCTAATAATGGCACTCAGGGAAATAACGTTGGTTTGCACGGTTGCTTCTGGCATGGCCCAGAATAAGGACAAGGCCTGCTGCCACTGCCCACACTTCTCGCAGGCGCTGATGCTTGCGCTGAAAGTCACAATACTTCTACGCACACTACTTTCTGGCATGGACCAAAAGAAGGACAATGCCTGCTGCCACTGCTGACCTTTCTCGCAAGCACTGATAATGGAATTGTAGCAGATTGCATTGGCTTGTACTCTGGCTTTCAGCATGGCCCCAAACAGACCCACGGCCTGCTGCCACTGTGCCGCTTCCTCACAAGCGCCGATGGTGGCGCCAAAACTGCTAGTGTTTGCTTCCAGATTGGCATCTGCCATGTCGAACAAGGCCAAGGCGTGTTCCCATTTTGCAGCGTTCTTGCAGGCAGTGATCGCCGCATTGCAGCTGATGACATCAACTTGCACCCTGGCTGCATGCATGGCTGCCAGCAGGGCTAGCGCCAGTAGCCAGTGACCATCCCTTTTGCAGCAGCCGATGGCAGTATTGAAGGTGATCCTACCAGCAGTCAGCGCTGCGTCCGACATGGCCTGCAACAAGGACAGCCCCTGCTCCCAGTGCCCACCTGTCTCGCACACGCTCAAGGTGGCATTGAAGCTGACCTCGTTTGCTGACACCTTGGCTGCAGGCATGGCCCAAAACAATGCCAAAGCATCTTGCCACTGCGCACCTTTCCCGCACGCGCTCACGGCTGCACTGAAGCTGTAAGTATCCCTTTGTGCCTTTGCTGAGGGCATGGCCCAAAACAGAGCCAACGCATGCTGCCACTGTGCACCTTCACATGAACTCATGACTGCGTTAAAGCAGACAGCATTGGCTTGCACACCTTGTGAAGGCATGTTCCAAAACAACGCCAGTGCCTGCTGCCACTGCTCACCTTGCTCACAGGCGCTGATAGCCGTGCTAAAGGTGTAGATATCTCGCTGCACTTTTGCCATGGGCATGTGGGCCAAAAGGGCCAATGCTTGCTGCCATCCACCATTTCTGCAGGCAGCGATGGTCGCATTGAAGCTCCTCCCATTCGCTTGAACCTTTGTTTCACACATGTCCCAAAACAAGGCTAGCGCTAGCTGCCATTGTCCCGCTGTTTTGAAGGCGCTGATTGCGGCACACATATTCATTTCATTGGCTCGTACCTTTCTGTCCGGCATTGTTTCCAAGATATTCAAGGCGTGCTGCCAGTGCCCGCCGGTGCAAGAGCTGATGGTCGCGCCATAGCCACTATTATTTGCCTGGATTCGTATGCGTGCTTGGCTCACAAAAATTGCGACCGCCTGCAACCACTGCAAACCTTTCTGTGCAGCACTGATGGTAGCACTGAAGCTAACCACATCGGCTTGCATCTTTGCCGTCGGCATGGCCCCGAAGAGGACCAGTGCCTGCTGCCACTGCCCAGCGGTCTTGCAGGTGCTGATAGCTGAAGAAAAGCTATAAATATCTGCCTGGATCGTTTCTCCAATCAGGGCGGTAAGGAGCAGGCAAGCATTTTGCCAGACATGAAGCTTCAAGTACGTCGACATAGCCGCAACAACATCTTGTGGCTTGCCCACTTCGAGCGGCACTTCTGGCTGGCGCACCTCAGGTGCGTGCCTTTGAGCAAGTCTGCGCCCGGCTTTCCTCCTGACATGACTCACCGCAGCAAAGACGACAGCTGATGGCCTGCACGAGGAGACGAAAACGGGCGGCTTCGCGAAAACCGGCCGAGGAGGGAATGGCCGGCTCCTGGTTTCGCGTGGCGCGGACGCAGGCAGTCGGTGATCCATTGCGCTCGAGTGAGACAAGGAAAGTCTGAGCCATGGACCCAAAATGGTGAACCCGCTTTCGGTTGGCTGGTGAAAGGGAACCCAGGAAACAGTTGCGCCAGGAGCCCGATTCCGATTTTTGGGAAACAACCATGAAGTGGTTCTATTGAGTCAAGCGCAGCGACTTAGAGCACGGCTTTGCGGATGTCAGCAACTTAAACCTTGGCCGAAGCACCTTTCCTGCAGCTTTCCACAACCGCGGTTTTCTGCAGCACTAGACATGACATGTCAAACCTAGAGACGCCTGGATGGATTCAGCAAACCAAAAGTGCAGGAGTCCCTTGAAGCATTCCTCCATTCGCTCGAGTCCCTTGCAAAACAGGTTAACACATGGGTTCTTCTCTTTTTGGGGGACCTCCGAAAGGGTTTCTTTTGGGTTCCCTTTAAACCACAAAAGTTAAGGTGTACCGTCCAAACAAAACAGACCCAGCTGTCCAGTGATGGGTTCCCTTTGAAACCGTTGGACATATCCGCATTCTCTCTGCTTGCAAGCCTTGCACACGAACCCCTTGACGTGGTCGTCTCCCCGGGTTAACTACTCCAAAGACTCGAAGCTATACACAAGCCCTCCCTTCAAGCAATGGAACCTCGGTCTCCCTCGAAAAGGATGATGGTTAGGTTGGGGAGTGGTATCCCATCGGGTAACCTGACCCAGTTGGGGCTACCCGAGAACGCTGCCCGGAAAACAAACAAATGCAACCCATTGCTAGATCGACCCTACCACACTGTACGGGTGTTAAAGCCAACAAACCACAAGAAACGCCAACACAAAATACACAAACCAACTATATATATATATATATATGTACATATATATATATACACGGAATTCAATCATGTGACGTTTACACACCAACACACACACACAAACCCAAGCAACCGCAGCAACAAAGAGAAGACGCACGGGATCGAGCGCCTGGCTCGCCTCGGGCAGCGGATGCCAAGCCCAAGGTCCCAGATCCAAGTGCGGCACAACTTCGCTGGGCGGCTCCAGGCCCAGCTGCTGCGAAGACCTGAGAGCCAAACGAGAGCACGAATCACCCCCGTTTGCCCTGAATGAATACATGTATCTCTATATATATGTATGTATGTATGTATGTATGTATGTATGTATGTATGTATGTATGTATGTATGTATGTATGTAGCACTAATGCTGAGGAATGTCGAATATAACTTGCAGGAATGTTGAGATGGCGAGCTTCCAACCGCAAATGGGTATAATTACTTGCACATACCGTAAATGGGTACATTTAGCACTTGGAATGTTGAGGCGAGTGATTCACATATTCTTCACTTGGGTGTTCGTGGCCAAGTCAGTAAGTTCGTCTGCTAGGTTTCCCACTCATAAGTCTAAGTGGAATCAACCCTGTTAGTGGGTTGGCTCACCGCTTACTAACTTGGCCGAAAATCCAAGAAGTGGGAAAAGAACAACCAAGCCAACAGATTCAAACAGTTTTCTCCCAGTTGGCTTCCCACATTCTCGATTGTTAGCAAAACTCAATTATTGTCGAGCAATGAGCCAGAAGGGACAAAGACACTTACAATTTGGTAAGGGGAAATTAAGGAAACAGAACACCAAACACAAGCTTCAAAGGCAAGCGATCCGTCTTTCTGCGGCTCGATGAAACCTACTCTGCACCAGTTGGGATGAATGAAACTTGAGATAAACCACCCACCAGCTGAGCAGCTGGCACCTGGTGCAGGATTCTGCTCATTCAGAGTAGCTTACCCCTCTATCAGTTTATCCCCTACCAGTTTACCTCTAAAACCGATGGGCCCGTGGATAATTGGAATGGGGTTGTGGGGGACTGTCGTAAACTGTGGGGAATAACTCCACTTTAAATCCCGTATATATTGGAAATCAATGACTTCGGCCGAGAAACAAATCGTAGATGATTCTCGCAAGTTGTTTGGTGCACAACGCCTGTTGGAAGACAATGTTCCTCTTGAACACAACACAGCTTTTGCACTGACTACTTTGTAGACTTGATGCATTGGCCCACAGAAAAAACACTGGCTTTTCCCAATGGACTTGTTGAACCACCCACGCTGGGGCGACTCCTGAAGACAGTCTCTTGGTTCAATCATTGGAAGCATAAGGGTGCGATTTTTGAATTTAGACCCTCCAAGTGGTGGTGTTCCTTTTGGTCTCCCTCTCAGCAAGGCACACCAAAAGTGTAATTAGGCTCAATCATAGCGCTGGTTACCACAAAAAGGGGCCTGCACAAGTTTTAAACAAATAGCCATCCGCGTTCTTCCAGACAAACTACCAGTTTCTCACTTCCTTAGTGGACAAACTGGCCAGAAACAAGTAACCCAACCGGTTGTCTACTACGAGCTAAACAGAACTCAGGAAAGTGAGATTATGGGCTCAGTTCTAAGCGGGCCTCTGTTCTCCGCGCCAGATTCCACTGATGGCGCTGGGCTTCCTTTCAAATACATGCAGTCCTGAAACAAGACACCAACGTAAGGAAACGGTCTGTGTGAGTGTGCATAAGGGTTTGTCTTTTCTCCGACGGGGTCGGTGGCCACTCACGGCGGTCGCCTCCTGTTGATTTGTCATATGTCCCAGCCTCTACTGGCACCTTCTCGGACCATCCATGGTGTAGGAGTCTGTAAAGGGCAATGGCCCTTGCGGTGAAAATCATATTCGACGAGAAGCCCTCTCCAAAATCATCCATGACGTCCGCCACCTTCACGCGAGCACGTGGCGTCAAGCAGGCAAACGCAACCAGCGATGGCGCAATCGCTTGCAGCTCCGCCGCCTTCGCCACATCCAGGGACCCGGCAACACGGACATACATGAGATCCGAAACTCCATGGTGCGCGGACATGGGCACTCGTGACTTAAGATGCGAGGTGTGCGAACCTAAGCCCAATCATATAAGAGCAGATCCATGAACTAAACCCGCCTCCTCCCTTTCGATACACGAGCAGCTGTCTAGATATATGATATATACTAGGCTGGAATTAGGACCCCAGCAAAACAATATCTTTTTTGCTGGGTTAGTGGAAAACAAAGGGGACCCCAAAAAAGCAAAAAAAACAACAGCAAAAAGGGGAGCTAATTCTGGGGAAGTATAGACATATAGATGAGCTGTACGCATGTGTATGTGACCGGCCCGAGTTCAGCGGTGCCAACGCATAACCAAACCCAAACCTCCCGAGGGCTCCAAGGCGCAGGTTCCAGGGTGAGGTTTCCAGCAGAAGCTCCAGCGACCGCTGGGGGCCCAAAGAATGCTGCATGCGCTGCACCAAGGTCTTCTCGCTGGCTCCTGGCTTCAGGAGAGCCCGCGTCACGTGGCAAGGGTTGAAACCCGGCCCATCTGATTGAAGAAAAAGGGGCTCCGAACATCACGTGGCAAGGGGTGCTCCTAATACCCGTGGGTGCAATTAAAAAGGTCTGGCAAGGGCTCCTGATCGGACAAAAAGGTGTGCTTGGGTTCCCCTACCAATACCTAGAGCCTGGAACGACGGCTTTGGTTCAGCCGTATTTGCCCGAACGGCCTTTTGGGGCTACAGGTACTCATTGATTTTCTCCTTCGTGATTGAAATGGTTGGGTTGGTGGGTGGGTTTGTGTGGTTGGTTGGATGGTTGGTTGGTTGGTTGGCTGGCTGGCTGGCTGGTTGGCTGGCTTCCATTTCCTGCTTCAGGGGTTCGAGTCCCATTTTGAGAAACGGTCGATGCTTAAGTCCCCTGAAAAAAACTGTACATGATGTCACTAGTCATAGATTGCCTTTGAAACCAACAACAACATACATTTGCTTAAGTCCCTGGGAAAGAAACACATTTCCAGTAGTGATAGATTCCTTTATAACCAACAGGGGAAAATAAGACATATTCTTAACCAAATGGAAGACAACAAGGGAAGAAACTACAGTCCTCTTGGTAAGGCCTCCGATCCTCCATCCATGAAGCGATTTTGCGAGCGCAAAAAGGCGGCGAGTCGGATGTGGGTCGTTGGATTCACATGGGCTCCTTTCCTCAGTTGGAAAGGGCCTGGAAATAAAAGGTTAACCTTTTGAAACCTTGACTATCTATGGACCAAAACTGGCAAACCAAAAGGTCAGGTCGATTTTGAGTGAATCGCAAGGGACAACTTCTCTGTGAGGTTCTGGTGGCATGGCACAACCCCAAACAAAATTCACCGAAACTTGTCAACTCACCAAACAGCGAAATATAGGTGGTCTTCAATTCAAGGATACCGTTTCTTTTTAGGAAAGTGAACAAGACCACCTTCTTCTTTTGTTCCTGGGGCTCAGACACACCCACACACCGAGGGATCGAAAAAAGGGCTCCTGTAATGCGGCCTTGCAAATGGTGCAGCAAACAGCTCAGGGCAGCCACGTAGCCATGCAAGCAGAAGCCGCCTGGAACGAGAAATTGGTTCAAAAACCCCCGATGGCGGATCGGAG